CCCAGCGGGGAGAGCCCTGCCTCTCTCTGTGCTTCTGTTGTGGGTCAGGGAAACCACAGCAGAAGGATGTCCTGCCCAGCCCAGCACAGAGCAGGCCAGAGCAGATCAGTGAAGCTGTTGATGGAGGGGAAGATCACTAATAATGCTGGAAAACAGGAGTGTTTTAATCTTTGCTACTAAGGTCCCAAAAATTCGCTTCCTCCATCCAACTTTTCCTGCATTGCTGCCTCCTTCAAACAGATTCAGATGAAACAGACGGTTGCTCTGTGAGAGTCGAGGGATTTGAAGATCCCCTGGAGGAAGGGCAGAAAAATAGCATCGCCTCCTCCTCGAGACATCTGAGGAGCCCTGCCTCGGTGGTGCCTGCAGTGCCAGGGCATGCTGCGGGGAAGTCTGACAGGGCCTGGGGCAGAAGCAGCCAGCTGTGCTTGGGTCTCTGTCTCCCGCTGTGTCGCCGTAGGAGGAGAGGGAAAATTGCCTCCGGAATCAACTGCAAGACGAAGCCTTCATGGAAATGGAAAGTTTATGAGCAGGTGGAAGGATATGTCAGCAGCAGGGCGAGCCAGCGGGCTGTCCAGTACGCGCTGGTTGGTGAGTTGCAGAGGAGAAGCAGCAGCTTACGTGGTGTGCGTCCACGTAAACGAGCGAGGCTGCAGGCTCAGTCCCTTGAAGGAGTGAGGTGTCACACAGTGCTGCAAGAAATTGCTGTGGGCTGTTCTAGGACCGGTATTGCCTTATCCCACTGGAAGCCCTCAACAAGGTAACCGTGTGCCTGGCTTGTTCACTGGAGGCTCCGGGGTGTTGACCTGAGCATGGACAGCCAAGGATCCCCAGGCATCATGATACACTCCAGTTTAAAGCGTACTGACTGTGAGTCAACACAGCCTCTCCTCCAGGAGCAGGGGAGCTGGGGCTGAGCTGCTTCCAAAATAGTGATCAATATTTATAAAGTCCAAGGAGATCGTTGCTCCTCAGTCTTGATAGGAGACATAGCCAGACGCTTGAAGCTGTTTAAGATGTGATTGCACAGAGAGGCACAGAGAGGCTACTGCCTAAAAGGAGTGGCAGCCCGAGGCATGGGGAGCGATGTCTGACTGCTGGTGCTCCTGGAAGGCTGCCTGCCTGCCTGCCTGCCTGCGTGCTCCCTCCGAGCAGAGAGCAGAGCACCGGCAGCGCCAGGCCATCCAGGACTACAACCCTGTCACTCTGTGGCAGAGCTATTTTCTCTCTCTTTCAAAGTTACCCAGGGACATCTGGGCTTTTGCCTGTTTGGGGTACCTAACAGAGCTGCCAGAAGGTGCTTTCTTATTTACCAGCATTAATTAGACTGAGAGAGAGAATGAAGCTAATTTATATTTAAACAAAAATCAGATTTTGGAAGCACCTGCTGTATCATTAAAAAACATGTTAAGTACAGTGAGTATTTGTGCAACCATCATGGAAGCAGCAGACAGAGAATCTCTGAACAAGATGCTTCAAATATAATAGGTACTTTTGCTTAAAATATGTTTCTGACCTGAATATAATTTAATTTCCATCCCTTTGAACAGTTTGATGCTAATGAACCAGCCAGGGATGGCAGAGAGGAGGCTGAGCCAGCTGCATCGGAAGCGACTCGGCTCCACTGCAGTGCGTTAGAGACCCTGTGTGCGCTTCACCCTGGCTGCACGCAGCGACGAATGCACAAATCCTGCCGAGAGCTGGCCACAGCAGCAGGAGCAAGCCTTGGGCTGCTCAGCTAGAGAAACAGGCAGGGATCCAGCCTGAAAATTAAGGCTGATCAAATATTGTTCAGCAAGCATTAATGTCTGTGTACGAAAAAAAGGTACGTCTGTAAGGAGGAAAAATCAGATCTCATACAGATGTGATTAAAGCCCTGACATAGTGCTTCTGCTTTTTTTTTACCTGGAATCCATAAGGCCAGCCTCTGCCATCCCATTACTTGCTGGAAGAAGGAGGGTGAGCTGCAGTAATTTTGCAGCGAGCTAAAATTGTGTGGAGAGCTGAGAAGCCTGGCTCAGTTCCACCTGGTAAGGGGGTCCTCCTAGTCTTAAACATTTCTTTTTTCTGCGGTTCTGA